GCTCATTCCCATGATTGATCAAAGCACACTTGTGTCTTATCACTGTACAGCAGTGGGACAGGTTAGGCTTATACATAATTATTAAACTGTGTCAAATGTGACATAGGTTAGCTATATACTAGTCACCTTTTTATTTACCAAACACTGACAATTTGGAAACAATTCAAACTGCTGAATGCCTCTTAAAGCAGTAGTCTTTTCTTAATTTAGTTGTCCCAACATTCTAAGGTTCCCGGTGTTCTATAGAATGTCTCAAACACAAAATAAAACAAAACACATACCCCTACTCACAAACGTTAAAAAATCAACAAGTAAAACTAAACTCTAGCTCAGCCAGTGTGGCTCAACCTATGAGCCAGGAGGTTATGGTTTGATTCCTGGTCAGGGCACATGCCTGGGTTGTGGGTTTGATTCCCAGTAGGAGGCTTGCAGGAGGCAGCTGATCAAGGATTCTATCATTGATGTTTCTCTCTCTCTCTCCCTCACCATTCCTCTCTGAAATTAATAAAAATATATATTAAAAAAAACAACCACACACAACAAATGAACTAAACGCTAGGGGTAGAAAGGGCTCCTTCCTTTCCACCTCTTCCCTCTTTCCAAGACAAGCCTTCCCATATCAATTATAGGATAATTTACACACTTTCCCCTTCTCCCAAACAAGATATTTCAGATAGGAGATGCGGTCCAAATTTTGCTTTCTAAAACTCCGAGTTTACTTTAGATAACTTACATGTTTGGATAACTCACACGTGCTTCTTCTTTACACAATGAGCTTTCTCCTGGCCTGACAGCCTTTTAATTTATCCTTCATTTTCTCCTAAGACCCGAGCTCCCCTGAAATCCATCCGGAACAGAGCGTGTGACAAGGTGCGTGGCATTTTGACGGAGGAGGGAGAAGGGGCTCACAGGCACAGGGACAATTATCCAGACCCAAACATAAACGTCTGGCTCTCATTTCTCCTTAAATAAACCTGGAAAGGGAAGTCAACTCCGAACAATCAGCCAGGATTGCTTTCTGGCAAAAGCTGGGTGTATTTGGCTGCGGTGGTGCAGGCAGGGCTGAGTAAGCAGTGCTTTGGGGTGGGACTGAGGGGAAAGCGATGATGCTTCCCTCTATCTCACAAGTTAAAAAGGTGAGCTTCTGGCAGTGGATTTGGAGGGCTGACTGTGCCCTGGGAAGGAACACCCAGAATCTTCGCTCAGGCTAGCCGCACTGGGAACAGCTCCCTTACATTTACAATCACTCCTGCCCACCCTGGTCCCGCCCCGCTTTCCTCCAGAGCACAGGGAGCCCCAATAACAGCCCCCCCGCCACGCAGGATGTATGCGGGGGCGGGGGGGGGGGGGAGGGGGAAGGAGAACCCGCAGGACACCACACGCGCATCTCACCAGCTCTGCAGTGCACCCTTCTGGGCACTCGCTCCCAGGAGCTGGCAAACTCTGGTCCTTAGAGGAGACCTCAGACCCCCTCACCCGCGCCCCTGCACACATTCAGACCGGGCCCCTGAGCAGAACTTTCAGCTGCTCCTGGGGGAAGCGCCCTCTTCTCGCATCCAAAGAGACGCTTTGGGGCAGGGCGCCCACCCAACCATCTTCCCAACACCGGGACGGCCCTCTCGGGTCTCAGGAACTGTATGACCTCCCCCCCAAGGTCATCGAAAAATGACCTTAATAACCCCAGTGGCACGTCACTGCTGGGCGCCTCTCAGAACACACTCTTGGTTGGGTTGGAAGGACGGAAGGAGGAACCAAGAACTAGCCCCTGGGGGTGAGGCTGGGAGGAGACTCCTGGGGTCCCTGGATCAGCTTGGCTGCTAGTTCAAGGCCAGCCTTGTCTGTCTCTGACCCACCACAGCCACTCTAGGAATTGCCCTAAAGCAATGGTCAACAGAGCCAAATAGCAACAGGACAGCGACTGAAATTTCTTTTGAGCGCCAAATTTTTTAAACTTCTTCTAACGTAGGGGTGTCGAACTCAATCAGAGAAGGGGCCAAAATCTAAAATCCAGCCTAAATCACGGGCCGAATGGTTTACTGAACAGTCATAAACTGTCATTGTGATGGAAACGCAGCGGAGTGCAGTGATGACAGCGCGGTGCGGGCCACATTGCAAGGCCTGGCGGGACGGATTTGGCCCGCGGGCCTTGTGTTTGACACATGTGTTCTAACGCCACTTCTTCAAAATAGACTCGCCCAGGCCGTGGTATTTTGTGGAAGAGCCACACTCAAGGGGCCAAAGAGTCGCATGTATATAGCTTGTGAGCAGCAGTTTGCTGACCACTGCCCTAAAGTATTCAGGAAGGGGAAACAGAAATCCCTGTTTGAAGGCCAGGGAAGAGCAGGCTATGGGCGTCAGAGAAAGGAAATAGGAGGGTGTTTCAGAATGGGGGAGACACGGACAGGCTCCAGGGGGTTTATGTCCTCCCCGGGCCCAGAGAACCCGGTCAGGAAATGCAGGCTTAGCCACGGAGTAGATCAGCAGGGACCCAAGGAGAGCACCACCCCTCCGCGCTCCGGCCTGGGCTGCACGGCCCTCTGGCTTCCACACCAGTGAAGTGGGGAGCAGACCTTGGTGACCAGCAAGGCCCCTCCCCACCCCAGTACCTGGGCCAGACTTCACCGTGGGCCCTGTAAGCATGCCCGCGGGGGATGACAAGCCAATTTAAAAAAAATAATTATTTCTTTTAGCCATTTTAGCCAGAGTAATGCTCCAATGATTAACTTGCTCGCTGTACAATACTTGAGCACTGGAGACAAGTTATATGATGCAGACATAACTATTATATTTATTTTCAATGAAGAAAAGACCTGGCATTTCCCCAAAATGGCTATGGTTGGTGGTCACCCTCCCCACGCCCTCCCGACAGTCTTCCCAGGGCCCTCTCTCACCCACAGCCCCCACAGGGCTTTCGGCACCTGGAAGAAGCTGCAACCTGCTTGCCTCACTCAGTTCCCACTGCATTTTTCCCTTCGGAAGCTTGGAAAATGACAAAAGTAACCCGCAGAGGGAAGCACGGACTATTGGTCAAGGCTACCACCACTGGCTCAGAATTATGGGAGTTTCTAGAGAGATCAGGACAAAGTGGGCACCTACCCTCACACCTCTTGTCCATGGCTACTCAAAGGCGGAGCTTTGGAGCTTCCCCAGCCAATAGTGAGGCTGCGGTGTGGTCAGGAGAGGAAATGGTAGGTGAGCAATGATGGTAGACCAGGTGGCACCTGTATGTGATGTGCGTTTCTGTCCTCAGCTGGATGAAGGGAAAACAACTCCCCAGCAGCTGAAAGAACTCCCGAATTAAGGATCCTCCTGCCTTCTGCAGGCAGGGCCTGCCATGCTCCTGACAACCTCCTTTGACTTTTGTTAGAAATTGGACTGTTAACCTTCATGCATCATGGAACCTCTGTTCGGAAGCACCTGCTAGCTTCGCCTCTCTAACATGTGATCTGGTGTGTGCTTGTGGAGCTGTAAAAGAAACCCGCCTTCCATAAGGGAATGGATGTCAATGGGATGTAAAATACAGAGTGCCTCCAATACAGTAGATGAGGATTTAGGACAATGAAACCTGTCCTAAATTCTCCTCCTCTTCTCAATCCACACACACCCACACATACCACCTGACACAGGGCCCTGGAATCCTTCCAGGGGAAATTGATCCACCAAAGGGAAAGCATGCCCCATCCCATTGGTGTTCTTTGCAAACTGAAACACTCCTGGGGATAATCAGGGCCGCGTAAGTCACTAATGAGCTAAATTAGCCTTTGAGATGTGTTTCTTTTCTTCTAATAGAGCAGGGGTGGGGAACCTTTTTCCCCACCAAAGGCCATTTGAATATTTATAACATCATTTATAACTAAATGATCAACTTAAAAAATTAGCCCGCTATAGTTGGTCGAACATTTAAGTAACTCACCCCTAATGCCATGGCAGGGCCAGACCCAATGGTTTCTCAGGCCTTAAACAGCCTGCAGCCGGACGTTCCCCACCCCAGCTACAGAGTATGAGGAGCCAGGACCCCTGGGGGAAGAGAGAAGGCAGGCCCTTCAGGTCTAAAAGACTCGGATCCAAGTTATATGCTTGGACTCCTGCCTTTCTCTTCGCTGATACACCTTGTTGTCTCAAATGTTTATGGATACTTTAGAATTGGGAGGGAAAACTTTTTTTCCTTATTGTTTGTCCCAGGGGAGCAGCCCTGATGACTTGTAAACAGTTCAAGAATGCTAGGGGTCTTTTGTATTAATTTAGTTTCATCTCCTGATATGGCACAACTGTTTTGCCAGTAAAACATACAGGTGTATTTTTTTTTTTTTTTTTTTTTTTTGCTTTGGTGATGGAGGGGCATAGGTCATGGTATTAGCCCTGAAAGTCCTCAAAATGCCCTCAGGTAAGGTAAATAGGCATGCGTGTCCTCATTTAAATATTAAACAGCCTTGCCCTGGCCGGGTGGCTCATTTGAAGCATCCTCCCTAGGTTGCAAATTCAATCCCCTGATTGGGGCATATGTGGGAGGGAGGCAGCCAATCAATGTTTCTCTCTCACATTGATGCGCACACGCTCTCGCTCTCTCTCCCTTCCTCTCTCACTAAAAATCAATTAAAACAAAACAAGCAAGCAAGCAAGCAAGCAAGCAACAAAAAAACATACCTTGGATGAGGATTAAAAATGAAACAACCTAGAGTGAATATGTTTCATGTCAATTTCTAGGATTATTATTACTTGATGAGTTTTCCACACTTTAAATTATTTCCTTTTATTTGTTTCCATTCGTTTTTATAGCCGAGAGAATTTTATTGAACACGAAGACGCCAGAAACATTTGAACATCTCAGCAGGGTTTCTAAATCATGACATCCGTGTGATTCACAAAGAAAGATACTTTTTATGACACAAAACTAAAGTTCTCTCTCTCTCAGTGGGAACATCCTCCCTCGGAGGTCTGGCGCATGTAGTCACCGAGGCTACGTGGGTTCCTGGGCCCAGACGGTGCTGCTGTCGGCGCTCTTAGTACGTGGGTTCCTGGGCCCAGACGTTGCTGCTCTCGGCGCTCCTAGAGAAGGAGGAGTCCGAGACGCCGTGCACCGGCTGGAAGTAGGACAGCGTGGCCAGCTCCGGTTGGATGGTGTACTGACGCTCAAGCTGCTTGTTATAACTGAAAAAAAAAAAAAAAAAAAAAAAAAAAAAAAAAAGCACACTGCAGCGATGGTTTTAAGTGATGCACGTTTGCCCGGCAAATCAAAACAGTAAAAACCTAGTTCCAGTCCAAAAAAAAATTTACTTTTAGGATAAAAAGGAACTTGTAGAATATTTGGAAATTTACAGAAAAATGTCTTTACTTAATATTTTGTCATTCGTACTTGGCATTTGCATGGGGGGGAAAAGGTACACACTATGAAGTTCCACATTTAAAGATGTGTTAAAACCTGGGTAAGGGCTGTGAAACACTTTGTTCGTTAGGCCGAATCATAATTTAACTGTTGTCAACTGGGTCATTTAGGTTGCTTCCAACTTTTAAGTTTTCAAAACAACACTGCAATGTACATATTCTTGCACATGAACCTTAGAGTACATCTCTGAATATTTCCTTTGGATAATTTAATTTTTAAGTAAAATGACCCAAAAGATATCAGATTTTTATTGATCAATATGTCCCGGCTAGGTTGGCTACATCTCATACCTTTTACCAGTAACATCTAACCTGTCAATTTGATAAGTCATATATTCCCTCATTAATAAATCTGCATTATGTGGATTAGACATAAAAAAAAAAAACAACAACAAAAAACAACAACAGTATCACAAACGTTAAAACAGTGTATGGATTCTGTCCATTCTGTCACTTACTTGGTAGCACGCTATGCAAATGAGCGAACACTGCTAGACCCTAAGCAGGTGTGCCAGTTAGAACAGAGCCGTGGCCCTTTTGTGCCAAGGCTTTCATCAAAGGATGCCTAGCCAGGCGCTCTCTATCCTTCCCAGTTGATGAGGGTGGTTTCTATTTCTGGAGGATTATTTTAAAATATTGGGGACATGTGTCAAGAGGGCCTTCCCTCACAGACAGCCCATGCTTCTTTCTGAGCCAGGGAAATGTGGCCAACTGAACCCCGTCCGCACACATTTGGGAGTCCCATCTCCTGACCGTCTGCTGGCGAGGCGGCTGGGAGCGTCACTTCGCGCCTGTCACAGACCCTCCGGAGGGCTGTGGGCTTACGTGGTCTTCAGCTTGAACAGCAAGGCACTAGAGGACGCCAGGAGGATGGTGAAAAGGAGGAGGGTCAACAGTGAGATGCCCAGCATTAATTTTAACTTGTTATCCTGTGCTTTTACACCTGTGTCTTCACTCATAGTACCATTCAAATCAGAGTCTGAGAAGAAAGAAAATGCAATGAAAAGGGTCCTTGTGTCCTGAAGGGTAGATTACAAACAAAGCCACTGCAGGCCTTCCCCCCTCGGGAAGCAGGCACAACCACTCTCCTGCCCTCAGGCAACGCAAGGAGAAGGCTATGGTGGCCCAGATTCTTAACTTTTCCCGTGTAACCCTCCCAGCGTCCTGAGAAGCTGTCCTCAGCTCCATTTCACAGGACCCCAGAGTGTCTGAATTTGCCGTGGCACAGAGCTGGTAAGTGGCAAAATCTGGGTTCAAAACCAGGTTACTGATATTAAAATGTGTATGTAGCAGACTTCCTCTCTGACTAGTAAAAACCAGTTCACAACTCTGAAGAGATTACTATTATACTAACCATATGACTTTGCACACATCCTTCGAAAGAGGAAGATGCACTTCTCCTATTGGGCCATGCGTCGATTTTTCTTTTCAGCTAAAAGGATGCTGTCTCCATGAGGCTTAAGAACTGAATTTGCCCTTTTATTACTGAGCTCAAACCTAGTGTACTTGACATTAAAAAAAGAAATGGAAACTTACTTAACTTTCTAAAATAAGTTCTATAATAAAGATATGTCCAGATTCAGATATGTCAGGTTTTTCTACTAAATCTATTAATAAAAATATATCTTTGCAATCAAAATTTGATTTTTTTAATATGTATGACTTAATATTATATTTATATAATGATGACTTTACATGACCATGTTGGTATTTCTCCCCTTTACCCCAACATCTTTCCAAAAGTTTCAAAGGCTTTCATTGTTTTCCAGATAATGGTATTTTGGTAATAAGCAATGACAAGCTCCCCCATGTTTATATTCTCTAATTTTAAAAAAAATTATAATTGTCAGAAAAGGAGTGAACAGTGTACAATTGTCAAAGACTGATATCTTGACTTTCAGGCAGATTACTCCGGGAATAATCAAACAAATGTTAAAATGAACCAGGCTCCTCCATTGCTTTGCTACTCCTTTAAAAGGGATTTTGTAAAGAGCTTTGTTTATAGGACATTTTGTTTGTCAAGGTGATGGCCCAAACTAGAGGAGGACTTAGAATTTCTGACCACTGGAGATTATGCAAACTCCAGTTACAAGTTTGAACAGAGTTTTCCTCTCCAGGCTTCAGTTTTCTCATCTGTAAAATGGAGGTAATACCAACTTCACAGAGTTGCTGTGAGGACTGACATAATAATGTCTGTGAAGCACTGGCATGTAGTATGTACTCAGTATGTGATAAAAAAAATCAATCATGCTCAATTAATTTAATTACTTGAAAAGACAATATTTCTCAAGTGGCCCAGCATTTGTCATTTCTACATCTAGCTCTTCTGAACAAAGATGCCTCACTCCCTTTCCTTAAAGCTCTGAAAGCAAGAGGCTGTACTGTCACATAATCCAGGGCAGAGCTGTATGACACGCCTAAGATAGAGAACCAGATGCAATTTCTTTTTAATGCTTTATTTTCAAGACAGATGTTTGAGGGACATTAATACATTGCCTTGCCATGAATTTTCCCATTCAAATCGAGTTACTGTACTAATATAAATATAATTAATCCATCAATGAAAGTTACTGCATTTAGCAGCTGGAATTCTCTCATTCATTGCTGGTGAGAATGCAACATGGTGTAGCCACTTTGGAAGACAGTTTGGTAGTTTCTTACAACGCTGAGCATGGTCTTACCATACAATCAACAAAAGCAATCAATCGTTGGTCACTCAAATGAATTGAAAATTTATGTGCACACAAAAACCTACACCTGAATGTTTATAGATTTATTCATTGTTGACAAAACTTGGGAGCCATTGAGATGTCCTTTAGTAGGTGACTGGATGAGCAAACTGGGACATCCATACGATGGAATATTATTCAGTGATGAAAAGACATGAACTATCAAGCCACGGAAACCTATGGAGGAATCTTATGTGCATATTGCTAAGCGAAAGAAGCCAGTCTAAAAAGACTACCTTCTTAATTTATAACATACTACATTCTGAAAAAGACAAAAGTAGAGACAATGAAAATATCTGTGGTTGTCAGGAGCTGGGCAAGGGAGAGGTGGACAGATGGAGCACAGGGGATTTTTAGGGCAAGGAAACTATCCTTTATGGTACTGTAATGTGGACATGTGACATCTGCATTCGTTAAAACCCATAGATACAGAACACAAAGAGTGGGCCCAATTGTAACTAATTATGGGCTTTAGTTAATAATGCATCCAGATTGGCTCATAAATTATAAAAACGGTGCCACACCAATACAAAGTGTTAATAAGCAGAAAAACTGAGCAATGGAGTATATAAGAATTCTCTATAATTTCTGCTCACTTTTCCTGTAAGCCTAAAATCACTCTAAAAACAGAGTCTGTTCATAACAAAAGCAAACTGCATTCTATTCTTTATTCACTTGCCTACACCTCCATTGGATTTATCTGGCTCAGGAATATAAGTTTCAAAACAGGAAGACAGATATAAAGAACCGTGTGCAGTACTGGAACTGGAGATCATGCTTGAAATCACAACTTTCCTAAAACAGGAATGTCCTCTCTGCTACAATGTTAGCCCCCACACTCTCCTCTGACCTCACTTTACCAGAAAACAGCCTCACCACACAGGCACTAAAACGTGTGCTGGCATGTATGCATTCATTTCATGGCAGTATTTTGTTCTTACCTGGAATTGCCTGAAATAATTGATCTCTTGCTTCTTCCTCCGGCAGTGTTTCATTCAGAACTGTTAAACCAATAAATTGGTGTTATGGGAAACAGCATTCACTTATTAACATTGTATGCATGTGGTATATTATAACAGTTTATTCTCATTTATTCATTCTAGTTATTTTTATCATATAGAGAAAAAACGGGGTTAGGATCCCGCAAGGTCACAACATTTCCATCAACCAATCAATGCAAGGCCCTGTGTTGTGTGCGTTTATGTTTAAAGACTCTTTGTTTTAGTATAGATAGCTGATTCATTACATTGAACTCACAGCCAGCAGCTCTATAACTGCCACTAAGCAAAGCTTACTTACCTAACACACATTTTTCTCCACCAGCATTTGAATGCTGTACTTGGGGGCCATTTTAAATAGCATAATCACCCACAGAAAACACGAAATACATGTAGCATCAAATAGACCACAAAAATGGCACGTGTTTACAGTATGAGCGCTAAAAAAAGAAGGCAGGATGCTGCCTTCTTCCACCTCAGCTACAAATATGAGCAATGGACAATTAAAATGTTTGGCTGGCCAAAACTGGTTTGGCTCGGTGGATAGAGCATCAGTCTGAGAACTGGGAGGTCCTGGGTTCGATTCCGGTAAAGGGCATGTACCTTGGTTGTGGGCACATCCCCAGTAGGGGATGTGCAAGAGGCAGCTGATCGATGATTCTCTCTCATCGATGTTTCTAACTCTTTCTCCTTTCTCTTCCTCTTTGTAAAAAAATCAATAAAATATCTTTAAAAAAAATGTTTTTAGTTGCTCCGAGCCTGTTTGCACATGACTACAAAAGTGCTCTCACATTGATTTGGGGGTTACACATACATCTTACACGTAGGTAAATTCTCAAATATGGAATATGCAAATATGGAAGATCAACTGAATATGGCATATGTCTTACATTTCTATTGCATGCATATATGTGTGTGATATTACATTTATACACATGTGCTTCTATAATAAACATGCAATACATGTAGGATATGTGCATTATGTTTATAATGCATGCTTAAAATTTTATGATGTATACATTAATTTTATGCACACATATATTTTGATATGTACTTTGCATTTATTCATATATCTCCGCATACTTGTGTGTATGCTGCTCCTAACTCAAAGAGTGACTATATTGGGCAAGAGCCTTATTTAGAATTTTTAATCTTAAAAAAATTGATTGCAACATTTGTAGGAGCATGAAACTTTTGGGAGGTGAATTGGAAAAAGCAGAACACTTGACCAGCCTTCTGGATGTGTTCTGCATTTACACGTGATGATGGCAGCAAAATGTTGACGTTCATTTTTAGCATTGGAAAATGTTACCTAACTACTATGAGCTTACCTTTACCTAACATTGTCCAAAATGCAGACTCATTTGGAGCCTCGGTTGTTTCTGTTTAAAAAACAAGATAGAACAGGATGACAAAATAAGGTAATTCGGCTTTAGTACATTTGTGCCAGAACATTCATTCATTCACTTGTTAAGTTTAGTCATTTAATAGTTACCCCCTTGAGCTCCTACCATGAACAAGACCTGTAGTTAGCACTAAAGTGACAGAAATGAACACCACAGACTTATGTGCTTAAGGAACACACTCAATTTCAAAAGCAGACAGGAATCGCTGCTAATGATGTTGTAGGATAAGGAGGGCGGTAAAGGAAATGCACGGGTTGTATTCATGGAGGGGCCAAAATCAACTTGCAAAAGCTGGAAACCCTCCAAAGGGGAGATGGTGCTTTAATACAGGCACAGAGGGCTAGACATTGCCAGGCAAACCAGTTCAGAGGGAGGTCATTCCACTGTGAGCAGACTCAGAACCATGGCAGGCTGGGCAAGCTCCTGGAGCTCCGGGAAGTCTGGAATGAAGGATGTGGATGGGGCGTACGACCAGGGAAGAGACTGAAACACTCTTTAATGTTCAGGTCACGTCAGACTTGACTGCTCGGTTAGAGGTTAGAACGTGACCCCAAGTTTAAGTAGTGAAACTTAAATTTTTACTCATATGGTGATATGCTCTAGGCATGCCTACAGTGCTGCAACTTTAACATTTTGAATATTCTTTCTAGATGGTTTTTTAGTATTTTCTTCTTTATTTTCTTTTAGCAAACTAAAACTTTAGTGCAAATGATTAAAGATATTGAAGAAGTAAAATACCAGCATGATCAGATTTCTATTTTTAAACATATCAAAAGCTGAATAAAGGTTTTTATGTCTAGTGGTGTGAAAGATGCTAATAAATTTAGGGTAATCATATTAGTAACATACTTATATTGCATGAACTGGAGAAAAATAGTTCAACAGGTCCATTGTCTTCAATGAGACCACTCACTCAAGACTTTCTGGGTTATGGTTTCATAAGTATTTTATAAGGGACCATATTCTTGGCAGGAAAGTAAAGTAATTATTTTTTATTTTGCAGCCTCTTACTCATAGTCCCACTCCTCAAATAATCTTAGGAAACACTAATCATTGCCTCAATGCAGAGAAAAGTTTATTCCTCGAGCAGTTAGAGACTTTTATTTAATTATTAAAAGGTATTATATTAAGCCCGAGCCAAAATGGCTCAGTGGATAGAGCATCAGTCTGGGGACCAAAGAGTCCTGGGTTCGAATTTGGTCAAGAGCATGTACCTTGGTTGCAGACTCCTCCCTGGCCCAGGCCCGGTCAGGGCATGTGCAAGAGGCAACCAATGGATGCGTTTCTCTCACATCGATATTTCTCTGTCTTTCCTTCTCTCTTCCACTCTCTCTAAAAATCAATGGAAAAATATCCTTGGGTGAGGATTAAAAAATGTTATATCAAAATGTATTAAACATTTATACATACTTATATCTTTATGTGAAATATATATTAATTATGTGTTTATGTTAAATATAAATACATTCAACATAAATATATGCATAAATATAAATTTAATACATTTTATTAAAATAAAATTATATTCTAAAAAGAGCTCATTTTCTACCCCTTGTCAAATGCATCTGAAAATTGACCCTTAGATTTTCATGGTTTAAAATATTTTAGCACCATAGAGGGTGTGGCTCAGCTGGCTGAGCGTTGTCATGATTCCTGGTCAGGGCACGTTGGGTGCCTGTGAAAGGCAACCGATCAATCTCTCTCTCTCTCTCTCTCTCTCTCTCTCTCTCTCTCTCTCTCTCTCTCTCTCTCTCTCTCTCTCTCTCTCTCTCTCTCTCTCTCTCTCTCTCTCTCTCTCTCTCTCTCCCTCCCTCCCTCCCTCCCTCCCTCCCTCCCTCTTTCTCCTCCTCCTCCTCCTCATCTCTAAAACCAATAAAAACATAAAGAAAAGATTTTAGAGTGCCTTTGAACTGTAGCAGTAAAAGTTCTTTAAGCATGTTATTATTTTATGAAATACTCAGACTAGTGAAACTTAAATTTTTACTCATATAATGATATGCTCCAGGTATAATACAGCATAGTAACTTTAGTACTTGGAATTTTTTTAAACGGGGGTTCTTCAATGAGTTCTCCAGATGTCTCATTGATTTTATCTAGGAAAAAAGATAAGTGGGTTATCAGCATATTAAAATATTAACTCCACATCTGTGATTAGGCATATTTTTTTAAGCTAAAAAGTGGAGCAAAGAAAAGGAGAGAGGGAAAAAAAAATTCCCAAAAGATGCTGACAATTTTTTGAGGTAACTGAAAGCAGGGGAAAGAAAAAGGAAAGGTGTTGCCTGAGGTGGGATTCATATGCCTATCACTTTGCAAGAGAGGGCAAGCTGGGGTCTGTCCCCAACCAGAGGTCAGGAAGGGCTACTGGGTCAGACACAGTCTCAGATGGTTCCGCCCACGCCTTGCAGTGACTCCGACCGGCCAGGTAGGCAGCATTGGTTTCCTTGTAAATTGGAAACATCTGTGTGTTTACTACTCACGACAGAACTTGGGATATAAAGATTTGGGGTTTACAAATCAAGGGTTTTCAGGCCTGATTTAGTGGGATCATATCTCAGGCGATCATGTGTCCATCTGGAGATAGGTCGTCAGTATTTGGGGCCGAAACTGGTTTTGGCTCAGTGGATAGAGCATCAGTCTGTGGACTTAAAGGTCCCAGGTTCGATTCCAGTCAAGGGCAAGTACCTTGGTTGCAGGCACATCCCCAGTAGGGGGTGTGCAGGAGGCAGCTGGTCGATGTTTCTCTCTCATCGATGTTTCTAGCTCTCTATTCCTCTCCCTTCCTCTCTGTAAAAAAAATCAATAATATATATATTAAAAGGAGTGTATTTGGGGACCATCGTGACTGGAGGACCATACTTTCCCTCATGAAATTGGCCTGAAATTTCAGTTAACTTTGCTTAATACAGGAGTCAATCAAGTTCCGTGAGCAGTACGGCAGTCCCCCTACCAGAGGAGTCCTAGAGACACAGAAGGAATTCGGACTGAGCCTACACACAGCACCATTACAGGAATCTTGGTTGCAAGAAAGGATGGAAAAAGATATTGTTACCCGAGTTGACACTGATTCAGGCAGGACTAGAACAAGTGGCCAGAAATCCTTAGACTCTGCTCGGCAACCTCCTTCCTCTGTTCTGGAGAAAAGTGTCTGGGCTGCTTCAGCTACTTGCCCTTGGACTTTTCGGACTAGCAGAATCATTATTCAACATAATTCTGGAGATTTAATCTCAAGGGGTGCGGGCTTGCTCCTCTGGAGTGTCCTGTACATGTCAGCCTGTCTCCCTCTGTCAGAGCCCTACTTCAATGCTTAAATGGCAACAACTGGTCTCAACCCAACTTTCTCTGACAGTCCTTTGGGGACCTGAATTGTGGGAATGGAAGTTAGGGTTTTGGAACCTCTTCCCTGGGTCCTCAATAAACCATCTCCTAAGGGAAGCAGAGGTACGTGGTCTGTTTTCTTCAACAGCCTCTCTATTCTGTGTCTTGACCCAAAAGAACTCAAGAGCTTGTTTACTTGTACGAGCAAAATTCCCACGCGTCAGCTGTCTCATTAGTGAATGCCCTTGAAATGTCCCCATCTTGGTTATGTCCCAAGGTTTGAAACTGCTCAAAATATTCCAGTATTGTCATGTGGCTTTATTTAATAATTAGGCTTACTGAGCCTGTCATTTACGAATATTGAAATGCCATTGCCAGAAATGCCCTGTCTTCTCTATGGACTTCCATCCTCTTTTCCTTGTAATTCTGTTTTGTGCTTATGTGTTTCATAGATAGGAGCTGTCACATGCCTGGGTAATAGATGTGTTATATGTATTTGGAGACTTAATGGCCTCCAAAGTCATCATCAAATAGTTACACTTGGTGGAAAGGTGCAAAAGAAAACAATGATTGAAGCTGAAGGTATAAAGCAGAAAGGAGTAAAAATGTGGGCCTAAGAAAGACGTACAATTTTCTAGTCCTAAATTTAGTTATTTAATTTTTATTTCCATGCAAACCCAAAGTAGGAGTCTAAGAAATGTAAGCACCTCCCTGCCTTCAGACTTTCTCAGTGCAATAAACATGAGTCTCCTTATTTAGGAATGAAGACTTCTGCCATTAGTGCCATTAAGATCTTTTTCCTACCCAACACTCTAATGCTGTTTGAAATATTGTTTTAAGGGATATTTGTATTTGCACTGGTACCTTTCAATACTTACAGTTTTTTAGAGAAAAATCCACATTAGTTGTTGCTTTCACCGATATTTCAGACTGGGAGCCACTTGGAGTTTGGGTTGTGAACACATCTAGAAGCATAAGACAAAAGTTTTCAGCCATCAGCTAAGTTTAGACTTTTTGGTTCTTTATATTTTTCATCATCTGATTTTTTAAATAACATATGCAGTGACTAGTAAAAAAAAAAAAAAAAAAAAAAAAAGAAAAGAGCCAAAACCGGTTTGGCTGCCGAAACCGGTTTGGCTCAATGGATAGAGTGTCAGCATGCAGAGTGAAAGGTCCTGGGTTCAATTCTAGTCAGGGGCATGTAACTTGGTTGCGGGCACATCCCCATTAGGGGGTGTGCAAGAGGCAGCTGATAGATGATTCTCGCTCATCGATGTTTCTAACTCTCTATCCCTCTCTCTTCCTCTCTGTAAAAAGTCAATAAAATATATTTAAAAAAAATAATAAGTATTTGGGAAATTCTTCATCTACAAAAAAAGAATAATAAGTATTTGGGAAATTCTTCATCTACAAAATAAGGAAGTGGACAAAGGTCAAAAATAAAATCCATGGGGAAAAAAAGCCAAATTAATTATCCTTTTGCTAAATGACATTTTCTGAGAAGGAATTATTGGAGAATTTATGGAAAAACATATTTACTATTAAGTGAATAATAGGTACCAAAGTAGATTTGTAGATGTGTAATATTATCACTGCACTGACATTATCAAAAAGTCAAGTAAGGCCTGGCTGGTATAGCTCAGTTGGTTGAGCATTGTCCCATGTACTGAAGGGACGCTGGTTCAATTCCTGATCAGGGCACATACCCAGGTTGTGGGTTGGATTCCCAATTGGGGCATATATAGAAAGCTACTTATTAATCTCTCTCTCTCTCTCTCTCTCTCTCTCTCTCAAATCAATGAAAATAAATATTTTTTTAGACAGGGAGGAAAATGCCAAGTAAGAAACACTCATTTGCCCCTGAATCTCCTGTTAGACTGTGAAGCAGTTTTGCTTAAAAGTATATAGTTCGAGCTCTGCCACTTCCCAGCGATCACCTCCTCGGACTTGCCTCACAGCATGGCCCCCAAACACCAGCCCTTGTTCCCATCACAAAAGAAGAAACTGAAACTGGCTCCAGCCCACAAGCCGGAGGAGGAGGAGCCAACCCCCCCTGACACGCCCCCCCGAAGGGAGGAAAAGAACAGCAAGAAGCTATTGAACATATTGATGAAGCACAAAATGAAATAAACAGACTTCATGAACAAGCCAGTGAGGAGATTTTGAAAGTAGAACAGAAATATAACAAATTCCGTCAACCATTTTTTCAGAATAGGTCAGAATTGATCACCAAAATCTCACATTTTTGGGTAACAACATTTGTCAACCACCCACAAGTGTCTGCACTGCTTGGGGAAGAGGGGGAAGAGGTGCTGCAATATCTGACAAGAGTTGAAGTGACAGAATTTGAAGATATTAAATCAGGTTACAGAATAGGATTTTATTTTGATGAAAATCCTTACTTCGAAAATAAAAGTTCTCTCCAAAGAGTTTCATCTGAACGAGAGTGGTGATCCATCTTCAAAGTCTATTGGAATCAAATGGAAATCTGGAAAGGATTTGACGAAACGTTCAAGTCAAACACAGCATAAAGCCAGCAGGAAGAGACAGCCTGAGGAACAGGAGAGCTTCTTTACCTGGGCTACTGACCATTCTGCTGCAGGTGCCGATGAGTTAGGAGAAGTCATCAAAGATGACATTTGGCCAAATCCTTTACAGTGCTACTTGGTTCCTGACATGGATGATGAAGAAGGAGAGGGAGAAGGAGAAGATGATGATGGTGATGAAGAGGAAGGGTTGGAAGATGTTGATGAAGAAGGGGCTGAGGATGAAGGTGAAAAAGATGAGGATGATGAGGGGGAAGAAGGAGAGGAAGATGAAGGAGAAGACGACTAATGAACATAGATGGATTCCAACCTTTTTTAATTTTCTCCAGCCCCTGGGAGCAAGTTGCAGTCTTTTTTTTTTTTTTTCCTTTTTCTTTTTTTAACCCCCCTCCTGTGCTCAGTCGCCCTGTTTTTGAGGTCTCTTTTTCTTTCCTTTACACCATGGTTCTCACCTTATTTTGGGGCGGGAGGGGGGTGTACCTTGAGCAGAACACAGTGGGAAAAGAATCTTTGCCCCTTTCTGTTCCAAATTCATTTTTATCCCTTCCTGTCTAAAGAAAAACTTAATGGAATAACCATCAACATGCTTTGTGGGAAAAAAGAAAAACCACCCACTCCCTTAGCTCTGGTGGGAGCTGGAGGTTGCTAGGCCCCTGTGTAGCAGTGCATGGAGTTCTAGCTTTTTTCCTCCTTTCTCTGTATATTGGGCTCAGAGATTACACTGTGTCTCTATGTGAATATGGACAGTTAGCATTTACCGACATGTATCTGTCTACTTTCTCTTGTTGAAAAAAGAAAAAGAAAGGGGGAGGGGGATTATAGAAGGTGAGCCAAGGTGGGTTTGAGATGTTTGGGTGGATTAAGTGGCCATTTTGACAACATGGCTTCTCCTTTGGCATGTTAAATTGTGATGCTAAATGGACATCCTTGCAGTCTAAGATGACACTTTTAAAATAAAATTCTCTCCTAATGATGACTTGAGCCCTGACACTCAGGAGAATCAGCAAAACCTGTCGATTCTTATTCAGAATTGACATTTCTCTATTGTAATTTTGTTCCTGTTTATTTTTAAATTTTCTTTTTTGTTTCATTGGAAAGAAAAGACGATGCTCAGTGTTAAACGTTAAAAGTGTACAAGTTGGTTTGTTACAATAAAACTAAATGTGTACACACACACACAAAAAAAAAGTATATAGTACAATAATAATCAAGGTCGCCTACATACTTTCACATGGCATACACACAGAAAGGATCCTGCTCTTCATTGTTATAAGTGGAATTGGTTATAATGCAAAACTAGTAGACATATCCACCCAACCCAAGTCAAATAAATTGGATAAAGATGGCTGATAAACATATATACACGTCTTCTCTTTCCAAAATACTATGAATGACAGAAAATTTTATACATATGAATGTATACATATTCAATACATATGTATATATTTATTCCCCCCAGAACACACACACACACACACACACACACACACACACACACACCAGTGCTATTAATGTAAATTTTTAGAAGTTTCTAGATCTATGGAGACCACAAGAAAATTGCAGCCCAACATTCATGTTATGAGTTATAAAAGTGTACAAATTAAAATAAGGTGGTATTTGTCCTAGCTAGCTTTGCTCAGTGGTTAGAGTGTTGGCCGCATGGATGGAAGAATCAAGGGTTCAATTCTGGTCAAAGGCACATATGGTTACAGGCTCAATCCAGGCCTGGTTAGAGTGTGTGTGGGAGGCAACCAATAGATGTGTCTTTCTCACATTGGTATTTCTCTCTCTATCTCTCTCCCTTCTTCCACTCTCTCTAAAACAATAAAAATCAATGGAAAGAATATATCCTCAGGCCAAGATTAATGACAATAACAAAAAATAATGTGGCATTTTTGCAGAGACAGATCAGAAAAACAAAAAGGGAATAACTAAATTTCAATGAGAATTTAGATTATATTAAATGTGAGTTTTACATGAATAGGGAAATGGTGTTAGACATTTGGCAATTCCCCTTGAAACATAAAGTTTTATGCCTATTTTATGTCATATATAAAAATAACTAAATTTAAGACCCAAGAGTAAAAAACAAAAATATGAAACTTAAGTAAACTAGAAAAATATTTTATACCTATTTGGATAAGGTCCATCTAAACAAGATGCACAATGCAGAAGTTATAAAGGAATTTAAAATTTATTTTATAAAGTTTAAATTTTTCTCTTTGATTAATATACCTAAATAAGTTTAAAGATAAACCATAGCCTGGAAGAAAATACTAGTTACTTTTACTTTAGAGAAAAGGTTAATATACTAAATATAAAAATATCTTCTACAAATAAGTAAAAATATAATCTAATAGAAAAATGGGCTAATGATAAAAACAGAAAAATCACAGAAGTAGAAATTAAATGCCTGATAAATACAGAGAAAAATACTCAACTTCACAAGTAATCAGGACGCAAATTAAAAATATGAATAAAGTTTCTCATTTATTCACAAAATATGATTAACACTATTTATTGTGAGATTAGGGAGCATTCTTGGGGGATACAATTTGGAAGGTCCTAATTGAAGGCAATTTGGTGGTATTTATCAATATTATAAAAGGTTTACCATTTATTCAGGAATCCCAGTACTTGGTATCTATCCAAAGAAAGAGATACCCAAGAATGTCTGAGAAGAGCATACATGGGAGAAACTGCCCATCATTTAATTCTTTGTAAGATAGAGAGCTCCAAAGCTACTAAATGAGAAGAGTCAGTCATAAGGCAGTTCTTCGCCACAATCCCATTTACATTTTATGTAAAGGTGTGTGTGTGTAAGAAAGAATTTTTCCTTTACTCAAAGTAATCATCAGGCTCATGAGTTGTTTGCCTTTGGTTAATTCAAGCATAGGTACAGCCTGAAAAGGAGGGACTGAACCCTGTGGGGCTCAGCAGAGGCAGCTTTTGTTTTGTTGTGTGTGTTTTGTTCTGTTCTTACATTTGAAAGAGGGATAATAATTCCTCAAAGAAAAAATAGAAGTACAAGGTAGGAATTATAGTTCTCAAAGTACTTCATTGTATATGTATTTTTTTATTAATACTAATAAAGAACCCAGAATAACTAGATTTAATCTTAATGTAAAATAATTTTTAACAAGAGTTTCCTAGGAACTTTTCACTTTTTAGAATGGTGGACATTATAAAGACCTGGAGAGAAAGCCATATGAGGAATGGTGAATAAAGTTTAATGGGCCTTCCACACACTTTAAAGTCATCCTCTATGGGTTGAATTTTGCCACTCCCCCTACCCCCCATAAAATGTTGAGGTCCTAACCCCCCAGAACCTCGAATATTACCCAATTCGGAAATAGGGTCATTACAGATTTAGTTAAGATGAAGTTACACTGGAATAGGGTGAGCTCTTAATCCGATGTAAATAGTATTCTTTAAAAAAACAACAACAACAAAAAAAAACCCAACACATATTTTATTGATTCTTTTTACAGAGAGGAAGGGAGAAGGATAGAGAGTTAGAAACATCAATGAGAGAGAAACATCCATGAGCTGCCTCCTGTACACCCCCCACTGGGGATGTGCCTGCAACCAAGGTACATGCCCTTGACCGGAATTGAACCCTTCAGTCCGCAGGCCATCGCTCTATCCACTGAGCCAAACCGGTTTCAGCTATAAATGGTATTCTTATGAGAAGAGAAAAATTTGGACACAGAAACAGAGGAAGAATGCCACGTGAAAATGAGTCAGAGATTGGAGTTCTGCTACTACAAGCCAAGGAATGCCTGGGGCTATCAGAAGCTAAAAGAGGCCAGGAGAGACCTGCCCCCCTAAAGATTTTAGGGAGAGTGTGGTAGAGTCAAAATTTGATTTTCAATTTCTGACCTCTGGAATTGTGAGAGGATGCATTTCTGTTGCTTTGAGCTACCCAGTTTGTGTGATTTTGTTTTAGAAGCCCTAGGAAGCTCATGCACAACTCCAAAGAAATTCTGGTTATCTCACCATAGAATTAAGTTAGTTGTTACTCATGTGAATAAGTAACCATAATGCTATAATGGAGCCCATGTTAATTATAGACAATTACTAAGGTAACCTCATTAAACTTTGTAACATCTCAGGAAGAAGTCGCAGAAATGAAAAAAAGTTCATTTTACACACTGAAATGTCTATATGGTAAATTTAAGAAGTAGAAAATAATGTGATTATAGTTTTTTAAAGAGTTAAGTCAAACCAATATAATTAGTTCTTATATATGTATTACTATAAACACTTACAGTTTTTTTCCTCTTTAAAATGATGGTCATTTTTATCATGAGGGATGTCATGCCTAATTTCTTCTTTATGTACTTCATCAACTAGAGGCTCCATATAAACTTCTGAAAAAAAAGTATGGCACACCATAGATCAGAAATATGTTAATTTCTTTGAAGGACTTCCATTTTTTTCCACAAGTGATTGGAGGCAGAGACTTAACTTCTTAACTGTACCATATTTTCAACAATAAAATTGCCAAACATCAATTTTCTAGGATAATGTCTGTGAAAGCTTCCAAGGCTTACCCACCTACATTACTGGGAATCAAGGTACTAATCTCTGAGGAATAAACCCCAGATAAACAAATAAACAATATGAAATTCATTGGAACGCTGTGATTGATTGCCAATGTCCTGTGTCTCTCAGAGCTTCCTTCCAGGTGCCGGCAGGTCCTGTAACTAGCCAGGACATTATGACGTCACCAACAACAGGTCAGAATGCTGGGGAGGGATCTCCAAACGCTTTGTGACTCAGTCTGCTATCTGTTTTATCCTGGAATTCTAATGGCCTTTGGTTTTAAGAAATAAAACATTATGAGATTTTCTTTGAAAATTAGGAAATATGTATTTATAAAATAATGTGAAATATTGGCCCCTGGATTTTATCTCACTTAATTATTTTTTTCAATTATGGTTGTCAATAGTATAATAGTTGCAGGCTCCAGCATAGTGGTTACACATTTATGTAACTTATGAAGTGACCCCCCAGCCCCCGAAGGTCCCCAGGATTTTAAAGAAGCATTAATTTTGTTGCTAGTAAAATTGGTTTTCAAAGCATTACAACAACATCTGTTTTTTTGGATAACTGAAGTGAAAATGTTTGTTAAAAGCTAATTGGAGACACCGACATTTAATTCAAATGCCCAGCATGTTATGGTTCATGGAAATATTTTATTTACATATTTTATGATGAAACCCATCCTTTGCCTCACATACATTGATAAAATTATATAATATTTAGTTAGTCAAAAGAGGACTTTCATATTGATAATATTACCCAATATTGATAGTATTTTCTCATATATAACTTATAATAAGCAATAAAGTAAGAAATTAAATTGGCACTATCACCAATATTCTCCATGATATTAAAGGATCAACTCACTTTCTCTCAATTTTAATTATTGGTGCTGAATAGCCTCTCAGCATTAGATAACATTTATAATTAAAATGACACAAGCATCGGTAAAAACAACAACACATAAGCCCTAACTGGTTTGGCTCAGTGGATAGAGCATCGGCCTGTGGACTGAAAGGTCGCAGGTTTGATTCCGGTCAAGGGCATATACCTTGGTTGCAGGCACATCCCCAGTAGGGGACATGCAGGAGGCAGCTGATCGATGACTCTCTCTCATCAATGTTTGTAACTCTCTATCCCTCTCCCTTTCTTTCTGTAAAAAATCAATAAAATATGTTAAAAACACACACACACATACACATAAATTTAAAAAGACTTAAAAGTTTTCAGTGCAATAAAGGTTCACAAATTAAGGCCAACCTGTGGTTTCTACATACCTGATGAATTAGAGAATCAACTTGAAAGAAGTCTAATTGCAGAAGAGGATGAAGGGAAGCGGAGAGGACTTAAACACTTAGTATAATGGCAGTCTGATTTCTCGCTACCTAAGAAGGGAATTCTAAATATGTAAACAAGTGTTGGCCTGAAATTAAAAGTAACTATTTGAACCCATGATTTCTGATATATATAGATAGATATAGAAATAAATATTGATGTAAATGTGTATGCATATAAATACATATATTACATATACATATACACGCATGCATGCAATAATTCCCTATCTCTGTCCGATGGAGAATATGACGACAGTGCTATTCCATTTAATGAACCCATCTAGCCCCCAGGGCTTGGCATGTGAGTATTATTCTCCACTAAAAAGAACAAGGAATTCTTGGGGAATTCCAGGGCTGGGACAGATGAGTATAAAAAATAATTGTCAAGAGCCTAAAAATTGTTCCCAGGATTTAGGATAGAAATTCCACTGCTGAGAAACTATATAAATGAATTAATCTTGACTGCTGAAAGAAAAAAAAAATTAGTCACAATTATGCTCATTACTTAATTGTTTATAATGAGAAAATTTTGAAACAACCCAATACAAATAATAGGGTAATTGACCAAAAATATCATGAATATTCACTAAGGTGAATGTTAAACAGATATTAAGTTTATGAGAATGCTTGTATAATAATGTTAGAGCATAAATGCGGCACCTACATCCAGTGTGCATACAGGTTTGGGCTGAGATCTGGCCATTCACTCCAGCCTCTGGAACCTCTTCTCCCACATCCCATGTACCTCAATGTGTATTGGTATGTTGAGGTGGGATTGGCATTCTTGCTGCTTCAAGGTCTTGACTTTCCTGCTCTCAAATATTAATACTATCTGTCCTTCAAGATGTATGCTACTTAGCCATCCATTCTCCATCACCCCACCCACCACTATCGTCTTTGGTCCTTCTCTCAATCTGACCCAATTCATTGAAGATTCTTGTACCGATCTCCATTTCCAAGCCCTATGCCTCCCGAAAACTTACCGGCCACACAGACAACGCATCCAACTTCTCAGTCTCTCAGTTTGACATCCCACTTAGCGATCTAAATCCATTCTCTTGGGCCTCAGCATCACACTTCTCTGTTCCAGCTGTGAAATGTTAAACTCTCAGATCCTGAAATTAAAAGTAACTATTGGAACCCACATATATTTCTTCCTGACCTCATATTTATGTCTTCCAAATATTGATTTGGTTTTAATATTCTGCAAGCATCCCTTCTCCCACTCAGATGTCCTTCTCACCCCGTTCATCACTGTCCATGTGGCTCCCTTTACCCTATCCTGACACATATACCTCCTGGGTGGACCCTACTAAAGTCTCAGATGGGGGTTATCAGGAAGATGAAAGAGAAGTAACACTGTAGCTACTATGAGATTTAGTGGACTCAGAAATATTCAGAACTTCTGAACACTATTTTCTCTTCCTTTCTTCTCAGCAATCACCCTGCTGCAATCTTGTCCTAGTTCCTTTCTCCCCTACCTTATATCTTCTCATCCAACTGGAAGTGATGATCATGTTGGCATTTTCTGAAAAGCCAAGGACACCAGGTTCTTACTGAAACTTAGAGGCCTCTAAATATACATTGAAGTTCAATGATTTGCCCCCAGAAAGTGGGGACATGAAGGTCACCTTCGAACGTAACTGGGAACTTGGGCACTGACCAAAACTGATGGAATGAAGAAGCTATCATGATATTTAGACTTATTTGGTCTCTAGCTCATCTTATCCCAGACAGGATTTTTAAAATGTAATAATAAGTACAGGAAATAACTGGATTGCATAAATAAAATATGGAGGGAAGGTTAGAAGAAGAAGTGCAGGGACCCCATTAAGCAGGAATACATTAAGCAGGAATACGTTAAGCTTAAAAATGCAACTGCCAAGTCCCATGGCCATGTTCCAGGTGGGTATAGAATTGGGTCTACCCTTCATAGCAAGCAATCCAAAAGGGAGAATCTTGTCACTTACAGGACCCACGGTGCTGAGAAAAATAAGGAACTCTTTCTCATAGGATGAATACCTATTCTTGAAAGCAGACAGGCTTTTTTGGGGGGGCGGGGGGTGTGATCTGCCCCTGCTTACCTCTTCAGCTGCATCTGTTCCTCCTACCACCTCCCTTGCTGGGGGGCCAATCTCACTCTCTCCACCCCTTAAACATGCCAAAGGTATAAGCCTAGATATTCCTCCTCCTGGGAGGCCTTTTCAGACCCAAGACCAGGTCAAGGTCTCCTGCTCTTAAAGTGCCTTGGGTTTATCCTACAGGACTCCTCATGCTCATCTATAACAACAAAAGTGTAATATGCTAATTAGACCAGACATCCTTCCAGACAAAACCAGGGCTGGTGGGAAACCTGGGTCCCAGGTGACAGAGGGAAGTCAGTGCTGGCAGCAGGGTGGTGGGGGGGGCGGGAAGGAAGGCTTACTCTTGCATTGATTTTGTTCAGTGGGCCTCTAGTAAAGAAATGTTTGCCTGTTTTTTGCTTCCTGGAAGTCTGCCCTGGCTAGAATATAAGCTCTGTGAGACTCTGTATCTTATTTATGGCTGTATCCCCAGACCCTAGCACTATATGTGTTTTAGCACTAGTAGGTGCTAAAACACATGCTAAAAAAAAAAAAAAAAAAAAAAAAATTGAGAGGCTCATTAATGAATTTTATTGGACTGTTTCTCATGACAACTCATCTTAGAAGTAACTTGGGGCCTAAGTTTGGGGTTGGCAAAAGGCCATCCCAATAAAAACTCACGGGAGAGTGTGCTGCGGACCTGGTAGGATTGTACCATCCCGTCCCAATTCTACCAATGGAACAAAGATCTTCTCAGGGTTGTCCTTCCATGTGGCGAGGGCATCGGGAGGCAGAGATCAGAGACATAAAACCACAGATGGACAGTTTATTCTTTATCCGGACGTCACCCTATACAACTGGCCTGCAGAACGTGAGGAGTCCCAAGAACATCACCTCTTTTACCCAGAACCACAGCTCTTTCTCTTACCAGTCTGATCCTTCTTCTCTGACACAAACCCCTCCCAGACTCCACCCTGACAGTCGCTCTGCATTGACCTCCTGTTTGTTTGTACCCATGTGCTTTTCCACATGAAGCATCTTTTGAAAATGAGATGAGGTCCTGTTGTCAGGGCAACCAAGGGGAGTGTCTGCTCAATGCAGGCTCCAGAGACCTCAGACTGTACTGTGCTCTGGGCTCCCCTCCCTGTGTGGTTGCAAGCAGGTCCGCATTCTGTAGTCTTCTGTCCTTTTGCTTCAGGGCCCGATGACAAATGCTCATGCCTCTGAATTAATTCACTTTACAAATTCCTATGACTAAACTCTATGAACTCCTTTCTCCCAATGCAATCGAAGAACAGGTGTGCCAGCTACACCCAGGAAGGCCTAGCTAACCCTTTCCTCATCCTGGTTCCATTCCGGCAGCCCAGAATAGGCATCTGGCTACTTATAAGTGGCTATAGCCCCTCACTGGTATGAAAAGGTCAACACCAGGAGGTAGA